ACAGCCCTGTGGTGAGAGCGACCACACTGACTATGATCGACCGCATTTTTGCTGGGCACGGGATTATTGCTGGGCGCGGGATTATTGCTTAACGCTGGAAATGATGAAGGCTACCTCGAATGTTCGAGCGAGTGCTGTTTTGGGTGGGCGCTCTGCGTATGTATATGGGAAGGGAAGAGGACAGATGTTGGGCCCTAGTGATGGCCTCGTGTTTGCCATGGCCAGTGACAATAAGCAGCGGTCTCAGCCGAGACCACGTTGGCGGCCATTTTCCATACACATATACAGAAAGGTGTCTGCACCATCGCCTCGGCCGACCGAATGAAATCAAGACTGCAGTGTTCTGTGCATCTTGTACAGTATTGTACATGAACCGTACCCTGTACATGAACTGTACGTGCTGCTCGACAGCTTAGCCATAGAATCATACGTACAGTACATGTACGCCAAAGTCCTATCGGAATGGCGCCTACCCTTTCCGCAGCCTGTGGCCAGGTCGGCGAGGTATCTCAGCGACCACAACGCCTGCCTGCCGTCCTCACCCCCGCCATAGCCGGGGCTTTCTTCATAGGCATTCTGATCGCTTCCCTTTCTAGACACTGGGTCAAGAGGCAGCAATTCCTCATAGCTCGCCAGAACGACCCATGCTTGACATGGGAAGGGTTCAGCCGACTGCAAGACATGAACCCACATCAACGCTGGGAGGAGTATGAGATACGTCGTGACCAACTGATCCACAAATCTGGGGGCGCAAAGACGGATCCCAAAGAAAGGCCACATTGACCTCACTGGGCCACAATGACGAAAGGCCAAGAAGCAAGATTTCTTATCGGTGCGGGTGTACAGTATGTACATACCTACAGCATGCTGGCACAGCGTCAGGTCCTGAACCTATTTGGGCGGACAAGAGTAAACATCGACACCCCATTTTGGGTACTCCTCTAACGTGCATGATAAGCAAGTGGGCCAAACAAGCAAGTGGGCCACCTGACGACGAAAACGCGACCTTCTTACGTTAACCATTAATTCCTCCACCAACAACGATGTCTCCGCCCTCACAAGAACGTCAATTACAGCTTGCTCTTCAGGCTATTCAAAATGACCCAGATCTCAGTATACGCGCTGCGACAAATATCTTTGGTGTTCCCCGAATGACCTTGACGCGTCGACTACGCGGTATTACTTCGCAACGCGACAGGATCCCCCTCAATCGAAATTTGACGGAGCTCGAGGAGTTAACGATTGTTCAATACATACTTGAGCTAAATTCCCGAGCATTTCCTCCCCGGCTTTGTGAGGTTGAAGATATGGCTAATCGACTGCTAGCCGACCGCGACGCGCCGAGTGTCGGGAAGCGCTGGGCCTCAAACTTCGTCAGGCGACAACCAGAGCTTAAGACGCGTTTCTTTCGCAGATATGACTATCAGAGAGCCCAATGCGAAGATCCCGAGGCAATTCGCGATTGGTTCGCGCTCGTAAAGAACACAATCGCCAAATACGGTATCGCGGAGCCTGATATCTATAACTTCGATGAGACTGGGTTTATGATGGGCGTTATCGGGTCCGGAATGGTCGTTACGAACGCCGAAAGACGTTCTAATACGAAAATGGTCCAACCAGGAGGTCGGGAATGGGTGACAGTGATCCAAGGCGTTGGCGCAGACGGGTGGTGTGTCCCGCCGTTCATCATTATGGCGGGCAAAAATCACCTCTCAAGCTGGTACGAAGACAGCCCTCTACCTCACGACTGGGTAATCGCTACGACAGACAAAGGCTGGACAACAAATGAGAAAGGTCTAGAATGGATTCAGCATTTTGACAAGCATACCAAGCCCCGTCGGTCGGCCGGATATCGCCCTCCTTATCCTTAGATGGGCAACGAAAGTCACCATTTCCGGTTGGAGTTCGAAGTTCTTATGTGCAAGGAAAACAACATCCATTACCCTATGCTTGCCTCCCCATTCA